AATGTTTCTTGTTGTGCTCTGCAGGAAAACTCGCCACGTCAACATCCTGCTGTTCATGGGCTTCATGACTAAACCCAACTTCGCCATCATCACCCAGTGGTGTGAAGGTAGCAGCTTGTACCGCCATCTGCATGTCTCAGAAACCAAGTTTGACACGGTGCGTCGCATTGATGTGGCCAGACAGACGGCGCAGGGCATGGAGTAAGTCCTCATTACCCGTCTGTGTGAAACATCAGGGTTTCTTCTGCTGCATAGACCCGTTTAGGATATTATTGACATGTGGCTGAATTACCAAGCTGCACAGAAGGACTGAATTTTCTTTCTCTTCCACAGCTACCTTCATGCAAAGAACATCATTCACCGAGACCTAAAATCCAACAGTATCCTTGTTTCTCTCATTATTAGCAGATAATGTTTGTGTTTCATCAGTAGAGCCATTGATGATCAGCAGGATGGTCGTTTCTCCTCCAGTCTGTTCCTCTGGCATAAACTGGTCTAAATATGTAGAATCTGTTCTTGCTGGCTGGGCTAGCATTAGCATTGACCTATCTTCTTCTGGGGTGGGTTAGATGACCCACCTGCAGCTGCCGTTCTTTTTTCTCAGCTCCTCTCTCAGATATTTTCCTCCATGAGGGCTGGACTGTAAAGATCGGAGACTTCGGCTTGGCCACAGTCAAGTACCGATGGAGTGGCTCGCAGCAGGTGGAGCAGCCCAGCGGCTCCATTCTCTGGATGGTAGGTTGTTCATCCCACCAAAGCAACCTTTCTTTAGAATCCAGTAGCGACTGAATGCCTCTGCTTCAGAAGAGGGTGAAACCCACTAACCTTGTTAAAAGCTCCACTCTTATAGCCTTAGATTTCACTGCAGTCCAAAGCGATAACTTCTTCTGAGCTTTCATATCTGTCCCTGTGTCCATCAGAACATCCGCTAAATCAGCAGTCCTCCAGGTAACCTGGGTAAAGATGGCGGCCTTGTCTCTGCTGTCTCGTTTCCTCTCTTCCTTCCCTGATGGCCTGAATCTCCTTCTTTGCTCTTTCTGGTGCAGTTTTTCATTTTTCCACAGAGCTGAAGGTCAACCTGACCAAGATGGTTGCTGTTTTCCCTCTTTGTTGACAGTTATTCAGATTATTTGTCCTTCCTGTCTTCAGGCCCCTGAGGTCATCCGGATGCAGGACAGTAACCCCTACACCTTCCAGTCTGATGTGTACGGCTACGGAGTGGTTCTGTTTGAGCTGATGTCAGGAACACTTCCTTATTCCAACATCAACAACAGAGACCAGGTTTGGTGCTAATCTTTCATTAATGCACGATGATCAGTTGTAGATGATAAATAACCAATAGCAGCAGGTCTTCAGGTTGACTCCCGGTGGGTCAAATAGCAGATCAGTGGGGATTCTGACCTGCTTTCTGTACATCTATCCTGGTTCTGTGCCAGAGATAATTTCTCTAGTGAAATCAGGCATCGCTCGTTTAATCTTGAAGCATCGGAGGTTCTTTGCACCACCTGAGGAGGTCCGATGAACCGAGGCTCTGACCCCCTTCGTTTGGTGACCTTGAGCCACCTCCCGATGAGGGATGGCTGACATGGTCCTCCATGCCGAGTTGAATCCAGCGGCTGCGTCCTCCAAAGGCCAGATTCATCGGGCAATGATGTCACAGCACAGCGCCGAGGCCTGTTCTGATTGGAAGACTCCTCGTTATGCAGCCAATCCTCCTTTTTGCCCGTTTTGAAGGACCGGTCCACTGTACCCTCCATAGCCTTGGGTATCCCATGATTCATTGCCAGTCTAAGCAACCTGGCTGCTCTGGGAAATGGCGCCGAACAGTGGCGAAAATTGGAAGTGGGGTTTAGTGCGCGTATGT